GCAGAACTGACAGGAGCCACATTCCAGCGAAGGTGAACAGCAGTAAAAAAAGAGTTAAGCCTCTCCCCTTTCAATGGGCTGCATCACTGGATTATTCGTAAATTCTTTCTGGGTTTTTCACTAGTCAGAACAAGCAGAGGCACAGCGTCAGCAATACAGAGAAGAGCAGGGAAAGAGACAAGCCGATTCAGAGTGCCAAATTGTGAAGAGCGAGGCTAAGAGAGAAATACAGTGGTTTGGAAGAGTTTGAATTTGAATTTCAGAGGGAAACACATGATAGCGTATAGAGAGAGAAAAAGCAAGAGAGAGAGAGGAAGAGAGAGCGAGGGAGAGAGAGACATACACACACACACTAAGGGGTGTGTCACAGCAATTTAGTTCCTCAAGGAAGTACAACTCAACATTATCTTAAGAAAAGGGTGGCAAGCACTGACAGAAGCGCTGCAGGAGGGCTCTTTTTAGGTTTTGGTTCTGTTCGTAGTTAAGATGAAGGGATCCCGTTAAATTGACCAGCCTGTGCTGTCAACTTGATACACAGAGCAGAGGCAGACATTTGACACAGACAAGGAGGGAGGGGGACTCAGCACGCACACACAGGTAAGAAACTTCTGCTGTGTTCATATGCCAGTAAAAAAAAACAACCTCTGGGACTAGATATCTGTGGTCTCTCTATTTCTTTAATCTCCTAAAAATTAAGAGTATTAATTAAGGATTTTCAACAGAGGTTAGCTAAGAAGAGGGATGACTGGAAACTGTGTGACTTTGCTTCACTTCCCCATCTTGAACACGAGTTGGAAGATATGCATGTATGCTCACAGTCATGCTGGGACAAGTACAGTGACAGGCACAGATGTAGAGCTCTCATTTTTTTGTTTGCACAGGCTGAGAGTTGCTCAACTCAAATCTCAAGGCAGTGAACTTTAGTTCTTCTTTGGCCTACTTTGATTTGAAGCATGTTAAGTCCAAGCCAAAGACAGTGAAAGCTTGCAACATAGCTCTCATGGCCGCACACATTCAAGGGACAAATACAACGCTGAGGGCCTTTGGTAATGACTCCTCGCCAGTGCGCCAACGGCTCTGTTTCGCTTCCCTTTTGAGGCAGGACAGATGTGTGGCAGGCTTGAACAACTCTGCTAAGTTGTGCAATGTTGAAAGAGAAACTGCAATATCTGCTTTAAGAGAATTTCAAAACGCTTCCTCGTTTAACCTAAACCTATAAAGCAGTCATCTTTACTGAAACAAAAGTATTACTTGGTTAATAACAATAACATGAAGCAAAATTAATTCTTAGAAACCTGTATAAAACACTTTATATACTTATATATTTATATAATTGAAAAACAGGATCACAAACTACAACAATTACCCACAGTTCAAAATATACAACGGAAGTGACATTTCAATCAGCAAGATCCTGATCTATTACAAAAACCTGCTGAGTAAGGACACAGAAACTTCTCCTATTTTTTATGCTGTTATTGTCTCAGGTTGTCCAGAATATCATCAGGTACTAATGCAACTACCGCCAATCAATGATGACCTTTCTAAAAATGGCATGACAGACTCGTGTCTCTGAGCTGTTCCCAGAATATTCTCAGTGTTCAGTATGAAAAAAGGCAACTAAAGGGAACATACATTCCTTTAGGTCCCAGAAGCTACAATCCAGTATAGAAATCTCAGGGCTGGTATGAGAAACAGTGAGGATTTCATAGATAATGCTCAGCTGCACTCTAGGAACATTACAAAGAATATTTAGATTGGCTCAGTCAAAGGGGGCGTGCGAGCAGATCTATTTTCATAACACAAAAACAGTAGAATAAACAAAGATGCAAGCACGTAAGTACACACGAAACATCAAACAAATCTTTTATTGCTAAAAAGTTGCAGACAAAAACTGCAGGAAAATGACATTTGCTTGGCCATACACTCTGTCATCCTTGCAACTAAAAACATGTAGAAACACGAACAAACACAAAAACACTCAGGCTTAATGCTTGAGTCATCTGAGGAATGCTAAATATTTACCTCTCCTGCCTGCCTGGATGACTCCACCAATAAGGACAACTCTCTTTGACTGTCCATTAACCTACCATTTAAAGATTCTGCACTGCCTGAATGTTACAGCAGCACTGAAACTGATTAAGGCCATCTCTGCTCTGATAGTTCTACTTCTGCATTTTTGTGCTTTTCCTTCCAGCATTAGATTTCACACAGCATGCAGTTTCAGGCATTTGGGAGGGAAACAAACACTTGAACATATAATGGAGTCACTCCCTGTGGATGTCAACAACAAACTGATAAATGCTCAAAGGCCCTCTTCTATCCATTTGTACCAGAAAATTGCTGCTCAACATTGAGCGCATCCTCGACATGATCGACTGAATGATGTCCATTACAAAACACTGGTTTTATGGCAATATGCTGCTGTAGCATCGAAATGTTCCAGTGTTACCCAAACAGCCTCAACCCCCTGACAGCGCTGCATAAAATAAACAATGCTGATGCACAAAAGGCCAAGCAGCGACCTGTCTCGTGCTGTGGGAGTTTCACTGTGTGGAATACTGGCTGATGACTGCGCACAGTGCACATCCTTCCGATCCCAGTAGTCTTTTTAGCAAATAAATGAGACTGAAGTATGAAACTGAAATAGCTGTCACACTGCTCTACTTTCATTATCACTGTTAAGGGAAATTAATCTTATGAATGTTTTTGAATTCCCCACAGGGACCCCAAAGCTTTTGTAACAAAGGGAGCTATTAGAAATGTGACACTTGTTTGAAATTAATGGTTGTGCATGTAAAATGAACCCTACTAGAGATATGCTATAAAAGTGACTGTTTGCTTATAATGAATTTTGGAGCTGGGAGTGGGATGCATAACAGTGATGGGGAGAACCACAGCGAGTGCTACTTATTTGCATGATATGATCGTTAATGTGACTCGATCACTTTTTCATTCATGAGTGAATGGTGGAGTCATTTGCTCACACTGCTGACTGTGCATCGCTGGCACTGGGCGACTTGAACATCATATTTTAAATGATGTTGCTAATAACAATAAACAGGGAGGAAAGAAATGCATCACAGGAGTTACAGTTGTTGATAGCTGACAGCTTACAGAAAATATGCGCTTAATAAATAGTGTTTACATCCTGTTTCGACGTTCCACTCAAAGGTAGACCCAGTTAGAAAAATTGAGGTAGCGTGTGGATTCAGGGTGCTCACTTCCTGTTCTTGTTCTAGCACTGATGCAATGTGAAAAAAGCAGGCGCGGACATGCTTGAGCTATGCAGCCTCCCTGCACCCCTCATATACTTGTCCATACAGGCCACAAGTCAGGTTTAGTGCAGAAAATGACTCAGAAAGAGGTTCAGAAACAGTCTTATTAACTGGAGACCTGTTTAGACTTTGAGATTCTGCACATGTGACAATACTAAGTGACACAGGAAGTAGGAGAGAATGCACAGCTGCCTCGGTGGCACTGATGTTTGCTAAAGATACTGCATATCTGTTGATTCTGTGTTACTCATAAAACATGGATTAATATGAAGCAGAAGCTAAGCATTTAGGCTCATGCTTAAGCTGTCGTGTTTCTGGAACTGGAGATATAAGGCTAGAGCTTATCTATTTAGCATTAATATTCTACAAACACACTTGTTTGCTTCATCTATTGTAAGAGTCTTATTGCTGTGATACTTTCAATCTTTGTTCTTTTGGTGATGTGGGAATTAAATCTTATTTTGCTTGCCCACTCTTTGCAACACTCTAACAAGAACATCAGAGAAATCAAATTCAAATGTAGTTTTCCTCTGAGAGTGATCCACTTCATATCTGCTTGCTTCCATGTTAGAGATTAGAGGGAAATTAGATGGAATTAAAAAAGAATTAATTCAAACTGTGTTGACAATCAAAGATAAAACTGTGGATTTTGTAGTTCTGTCATAGTGTGCTGTATGCATGCTGATGACTTCCCGAGGGGGGGGGTTCTGTGATGGATGTTAGGTGTGGTTAGAATCCCAGGAGTGAAAATTAAGTGCCTCTGTGGAGGCTCCTCCATGGTAGTTTTCCCTTTTGGCAATGTAAGTACATGTCAGATATCAAAACAAACACTGTAACTAACATAAGATGAAGGCATTGCTTCAGAATTTAACACACTACATGTTCAGTGTTTGTGTCGATGTATGTTTCTAATTTTAAGATGACAAATAAAAGGCTTGAACTGTTACTAATATTGACACTAAGATGGAGTTTTATGATGTGTAAGAAGGGTCAGTGGATGATAATCTGAAAGTTAAAAAGTAACGAGGGAAGACTCGCCACTTTGCTGTAAAACATGTTTCTCCTCCCTTTCCAACAGTTAAACCTTGTAGTCAGCAATCATTCTCCAACTACTCAACTGGAACTGCTGTTTTTTTTGAAGATTTTGTGGCAGAAAAATCGAGGGCAGAAAGAAAAACTGTTTTCTTTTAAGAGTGTACTTGTGTGTCTTCTCCTTTCAGGTTTAAACAGGACCTCTTTAGCACTTCCATGCTAATTCATTCAGCCAAAAAAAGTTGTGCAATCTAGTCTTTACTTGCCTACCAACAGGATTTGCTGTCGATTTACTGTGATGGGTATGGGTAGTGACAGGAAATCTGCCTGAAGAGACAAATTCAAACTTTCAAACTGAAAATGGTTACCAATCAGTTTAATCACAGGAAGCTGAAACTGTAAATGTTGAACATTCTGCCTCTATAGCTGAGAGAACTACACACTGTGTAATGATATCCTGTTGGGCTATTTATGAGCATAAAGTATGAATATTTTATTTCTTTTCACTGCTTTCTTTCTGCAGGTATAATTATGAAATTTTTTTGTCTATACACAAATTTAATTGCGCTCAAACTGAGCTGTAAAATGTTTATGTGGATATTAAAACAGTTGAATAGTTGTATAATAACTTTATCAGGACAGACATTAAAATGAAATATTAAATTAATTTTCTTCATAATTCAGGCAACAATGGATGCGTTCAATGCCAAGGACATGGCCATGAAGGCACAGAAGAAAATCCTCAGCAGCATGGCCACAAAAAGCTCTGTACAAATGTTCATTGATGACACCACCAGTGAGATCCTAGATGAACTGTACCGGGTCTCCAGAGACTACTTGGGAAATAAATCAGAGGCTCAGAAAGTCATCAAAGACCTCATCAAGATTGCAGTCAAAATTGGCGTCCTTTTCAGGAACAACCGCTTCAGCACAGAAGAGCTGGCAGTGGCCCAAGACTTTAAGAAGAAGCTCCACCAGGGAGCAATGACAGCTATCAGTTTCTATGAGGTACACTTCCCAACTTTAATTTTTTAATCCATGATGTATGAGTAAGCATACATCACCTGAAAGAAATTTGTGCTAATGCACTTGTTTTCTAGCTCCAATTGCAAAAGAATGCCAATTACTCTCAAATGGGGAAAATGTTTTGTGCGCAGCATGAACTTCAAGGCTGGAAAATCAGGCAACTTCAAGAGGTTTCTGACCTTAGTTTTTCCACAATAAATGCAATTTGCAGTTGTGTTAATATTTCCAATTAAAACAGATAAATAAATACATTAATCACATGGCATCAAAACGTCCAGGTTAATTCACTGTTGAATAGGATTCTCTTATGCATCAACGCGTGGCTCAGACGTTGCTTTAAAGGGTCGCTTGTTTTATTTCAGTTCCACATAATCAAGTGCTTGTTTCTCTGCTTTGGTAATGTGAGAGAACAATACGTTGATATTGAAACTTCTGTATTGGGATTAAAACTGAATATGCAGGAAGATTAATGATGCAAAATAACAAAAATATGCAATCTCTAAGAAGTCTTTAAACCTGGTAGAATATTCATACATCATATCCTGCTACTTCACATTAAGATATTATACAATTTGACTTGTATGAAATGCGTAACATGAATGCATGTCTTGTCTGATGCAGGTGGACTTTACCTTTGAAAAAACAGTGATGGCAGACATCCTGACCAGCTGCAGGGATCTGCTGCTGAAACTGGTCAACACCCACCTCACCACTAAATCTCATGGTCGCATCAACCATGTCTTCAACCATTACTCCGACCCACAGCTCCTGACCCAACTGTACAACCCTGATGGGCCCTTCAGACCCAACCTCACCAAGATCTGTAAAGGACTGAATAAACTAGTGGAGGATGGGACAATATGACATCAGAACTAAATTTCAAACAGACACTGGGAGATCAACAGACAGACTCAACTAGGACTCCGAACTGCTTGTTTTTCTGTTACTGAGGACTGGCAACATAAAACAAGTCATTTGAGAACCAACCTGCTTTCCCATAGTTCTCAAAGAACATGAGGGATACAAAAAAAGCTTTGTGGAGTCATTCAAGTTTTTGATATTTTGGGGCCATAAATATATATTATGTAAGTGATGCTAATCTTCTATTCAGACAGTGTCCAGAGAAAACAAACTTGAAATTAAACAGATATATTCTGCATTGATTATTTTACTAGGACACAAAGTATCATCTAATATTTGTGACTTTGAACTGTATTATTCAGAACTACTGATATTATGCATTATAATCACTGATATGAATCAGCTGGACCAATGCATAAGCAAGTTAGGCCTGGGAACAATGCCACTATAGTACAGCACTGCCATCTGGTGGTTAAGATGATGCTTCTGCAGCAACAAACTGTATTTACTGAGGTGTCCAGACAACAATCAAGCCAAAAATAAAGATAATGACCCCAGAGTGCACAATTACTGCGACCATGACTGTATTTTAAAAACATGTTTAGCCCAACAAAAAGACAGACTCTTTACTCATGACTGCTTGGACATCCAATCTATAATTCGTGATTTTTGGATCGCAGTAGGGCTTAAAAAATGTTTAAATTCACTGGCCTACTGACTATTCGTTGGTCTTATATGGCAGTTAAAACAGATAAAAATCAACTCCAATTGGACATTAAATCTCCCAAAACAGCTAAATCTACATGCTATACTAAAAGAAATATTTGTTAGCAGTAATGTGAACAAATGTCATTTAACATAGGATAAAAATATTTTAAAACAAACAATACAAAATTGAAAAGACATTAGAAATATAACCTTAACAATACAATTATTGCTATCAAATATTCTAAAACCTACAACATTTTTTCTTGCATTTTCAGCATTAATAGAAAAACCATCATTCTAACCAGTTCATTGTCATCATCATTATTACAGTAAACACAACTTGTGTTTTAGATTCCATTTCCTAACGTTACAAGTCTGAAAATATGAGGCAGTTACACACAAACCCTTTTTGTGTTGACCATATGATCATCTGACTATAAATATGATTGATTTTTAATTCTTCAAATTTCAAGTTTCCAACTTCCCAGATGTGAATAGTCATATGAAGCTTTTCACAAGCTACAGCATGTCTCACCAAATAAATAACAAGTCTACAATTGTGCAATATAAATTTTTAAATGGAAGTGTGAAAACACTTTTATACTTTAAGTAGCAGCGGGATCACCGGGGATTCCTTTTCATTCCTTTATCCGTAACGCTCCATTATTCTGGAGATCAAACAGCGCATCACGGCTCCCTGGGAAAGTTCCATTAATGTTCTGAGTGACAGACATGTCACAGTTCAAAGATCTCATCTTCCTTGTCTCTCAGTTTCCTGGTCAGTTTGGTGACAGTGAGCGGTACTGTCCCCTGTACTGCCATCCTGGAAGATGAAATGACACTCTGTGACCTCGTAAGCGGCCGGCAATCTGATGTCCTGTTGTTGCAAGTTGCTTCTAGTGCAGCAAACCTGGCAAATAAAATAAATATATTACAGAGCAAGTCGTTCAGAGTGTACTGATCTTAGGCTAAATTGATTGGTATTCTTAAAAAAAAATATCGTTGTTGCACTGGTACTATCACCAGGCCATTAGAAACTGCATTTAAAGCAGCTATTAAGCATTGGGAATCTTTTGAACAGCCACATTGTGAGTGGTTGATGAAATATTAAGAAGGCCAGAAAGGTGGATGACTATACTTGACATGACAATCTAGGCTAATCTGACTATCAGATACTATCCATGCATATCTATGCTTAGCATCAAAATGCATTATATTTGACCATGACCTCAACATTACTTACACATCAGTGAAGGTACAATATTTGCAAATTACACTGCCACTGACCATTTCTCATGCAGTAATATGTTCCAATATTAACCTGGAGGAAAAAATGTTAATCTGAGTAACATAATATTTCCACTGAACTGTGTTTAGGAATACGAATGGCATGAGTATAATGGCCCAGGGATTATGACTAAAAACATATGCATAAGCAGGACCAACTGATCTAACTATTAGTGACTTAAATACGAAGAGAGTAAGTCTCTGTAATGCTACAAATGACCCTGACTGGACAACAACTGTGCAAAGAAAAGAGCAACCAGCGACAGGCACAGTTATACCTTTTCTCTGCTTCCTGGCATCCTTTGACTGCAGCCTGCTTGGACTGGCTTATCAAGTCATCCAAGCTTTTCAAAAAATCCCCTGGAGTGAGATCTTTTCTGTCTTCTTGCTTTTTCTCAGAGGAACTCCCTATGTGTCCATTGTGAAGTGAAGCAGAGTTACCACTGCCTTTGTTGCCATCCTCCTCTGCCACATCCAACCCATTACTGCAGTCATCCAGGTCTGATATCACAGGGATTGTCAAAGACTTCTTCAGGAATATTGAGTCATTGGTGTAAAGCCTGTTTGCTCTTTTGATTTGCTCCATCTGAAAGAGAAGATGTCCTTGTGAACCTTTTGTTAATTAGTATTAGACTTAGCTAAATCAAGTCTCACTTTTACCGAGATCAGTAGGCAGACAGGAAACCAAATAAATACATGCCATTTTAAGGCAAACACTTTTTCATAGTATGCCCTAAACAGCTGAATAAACAATTTAATTATGTAGTTGAACGTTTTGTTGAACCACTGAGATAACCTACCTCAATAAATATGAAAATAAAACAACGACTATAAGAAAAGTGAATATTCACCCACATTTACATTTCAGTATTGGCAAATCAAGTATTCAGTTAGAAGACATCATATCGCAACAAGTAAATTTCAATATAAGCTTAATATGAACTGTTAAAGGCGCAAAAAATGAATACTTTAACTAATTCAGTCTCAGAGTCAAATCAACACAGTCATACTCACAGACACTCCATACTTCAGCGCCAGGCCTTGCAGTGTCTCTCCCGGCTGAATTATATGTTCAATGCGTCTCTGGTGCACCGGGGACAGCGGAGATCGGATCAAACTGCCGTAAGATCTTGTGCGGTTCCCTCGGAGTAGGCCGTCCCCTCCGGCTGGTAGTGGAGCTCGCTCCCCTGACATTGTCGTAAAACACTTATATTGTTCTTTTTTCGTGTGGTGGTAAACAACCATGTGGGCCTAAAATGCGCTTACCAGCGAACTTCACTGCTGATAACATCTTTACAATAATGGCTTCCGCTTTAGCCCATAACTATCAAACTAGCAGCTTAGTTAGCCTGCTAGCTAAGGCTATCAACTTAATTAATGTCGTCGCGCGTTATTTTTCCAAGCGTTCAATATTTTCTCCAAATGACAGCCGTTTAAACTCTATAGAAAATTTCTTGGATTACAAATATAACGTACCTTATCTGTCAAATACACACCTAAAAGTCGCTGAAAAACTTGTTTTCAAAACTCTTACAGTCAGCTGTCTACAACCATATGTTGCCATGGCTGCCGTGTTCACTGACTAGTCCGATGATTCGCCACAACGTGTTGCATTAAAGACTGTAGGGGGGAAATGTGCGTTTTATATTAAGTTGACGGAGTTTTGTTTTTTTTTTCCGCAAATTTAGCAAATATGAAGTATAGCCACAAATCGAGCTTTCAAACGACTTTATGTTATAAAAACAAGCAGATATCGTTGTAGTTCCGATAGCCGAAACAATTATCCACCTCAAAGCTGAGCACATAGGGGGGGGGAAGTTGTCTATATTTCCCATCTTCCGTTTGTCCATGAATGCAGCATTGCTATTAGCTTATATATTATAGCCAAGAAGCTATACGCTGCTATTCAGATTAGTTTTTAGATTATCGATCATAACAGTTATGTCTTTTAAAAGAGAAGGTGATGATAAAAGCCAGCTGAATCTCCTTAAGGTATGGATCAATTTGCAGCATTTTATGTTGGCTTAATAACAGAGACTTCAGCTAAGAGCACACATGCGGCTAGTGTTAGCATCTTTAAGCTAACAACATATTGTAGTTATTTCTTTGGAGAAAAAAAAAAGTAGTAATACTTACATACTATCTAACGTTATTCACTTCGTTTTACAGAAACGTCGTGTGGCAGACCTTTTGTCTAATTTTATTCCAGAAGATGAGGCTGCTCTTATGAAAAACGGAAGGTGAAGTGAACTTCAAAACATTGATATGTTTGGGAAAGAAAAACTTGTGTAGCTAATGGCATTAAATGTAATTTATCCCCTTATCTTATAGGTACACTTGCCTTGTGTGTTCCTACCGTCCTGTGTTTGATACAGTCGACATGTTGGCAGTCCACAGAAAAGGAAAGAGGCATCTAGACGGTGAGCACCATGAACCTGTAAAGTTATTTAAAGCAATTTGGGGACCCAGGGGACCTGAAGTTTCGCTCCCAGTCTTATTAAGAAGCACTGTATCAAGGGTTAGCCATCTGCACAGCATTTCTATCCCTTGTCTTTCGCCCTATTTATTGAGACAGTGCCCCATATTTTAAATGGCTCTGCATTTCAAAGTCAATGCTGCAGGAGGGGCACTTGTATGAGGTCGTGCTATCATCTGAGGTGCTGTGAAGTGCAGGTTAATATGCCATCCTTGCTACATATGCTACACAAAATCAGAGGAATACAGATACATAAACTATGCATATTTAATACAATCTGCTCAAAAATAAAATACAACACTGAAGACTGAAAAGCTACTTGTGAGAGGGAGAAGCTACATAACTAACTGAGGATCAAAGAAAGAGATGTGCTGGTCAGTAGTTGTGTCCTCAGTAAAATACCAATGTAGTCATCAGGCAAAACAACAGTCAAAACAAGACCTGTATTGTAATTTGATGCAGCAGTTGAGAACCCAACAGAGTAAATGAATACACTCAATAAAACTCAAAAGCAGCAGCCAGGGGGAAATTTTGTATTGGATTTGTAGATAATCAAGTCAAGATAATCAAGATAACAAACAGTTGAAATATTGGAAAGTTCAGTAGTTTTTGGATTGCGTCATTGGTAAGCTGTTTTTGTGTCTTTTCTAATGCTGCGTCACAGAGAGTAGTTTTTCTTTTCAAATTATCTGGATTTGATATCCCCTCATCATTTGGAAGAATTAAAAACCCAAACGATTATACATTGTCGCACTTTTTTACGCTAAAACTGTATATTTACAAGTACATAGGGATAAGTAAAAATTCCATGCTTTTGAATTTATGTTAGTTTTTCCATCACTTTAAATGGCTGTCAAACAAATTGTACTCTTTAAGTATCAGAGTCTTGTACAACTATCTAATTTTTCTTCACCTCATTTTTTTTTTTTTTTTTAAATATCCAACTTTTTTCATTCGGAAAAGCAAAACTCTGTCTGTTGTCTCTTACACAAACAGTCAAAGACAAGCATGTGTACCCTGGAGGTTTTCTTTATTTTCTGATGAAAAAATGCCAGAAAGTGTATTTTGAATAAGGGTATCACCGTATAACATGTATGTTAGATAAATTACAGCATATAAAAAATGTTGTTTTTACCTACATTTCAATACCAGTTTAATTTCTACAGTATGAAGGTAAAGTTTTGCATGTCTTCATGATATATACCAAACTTGCTGTACTTCAAAGGGAAACGACTATGACTTTTTTTTTTTTCAGGTTTGGTTCATTTTACATTGACTTTTTAGTAAACCCAATTGTTTGTTGTGTGTTCTACTCAGGGCTAAAAGCATTTTATGGCAAGAAAGCACGGCTGAAGACTGAAATAACAAAACGGCAACATGAAAACTATGTCCAGGCTGAAGAAAAAAGGCAGGTCAGTAACTGTTAATCATGCGTTCTCTGTCAAGGTTACAAGTCTCTCATAGCCAACAGAAAAAAGCTGTGTTTAACAAAGCAACAACAGATGAGAACCAGCTGGGTCATTCTGCCAGCAGACGGTCAATGAATCATCACAGGAAAAACATCACAAGCTCGACAGATGTAATCTTTCATTACTGCATGACATTGTTATTCCATGTTGTCTCCTGTTAAATTACTTATGTGGTGCCCGTGTGACTACCATATGACCCTAACAAATTACACCTTACTAAACAATTCAGTGTAGTTGTGTAATGGTGGAAAATATGAGCTACTCTTGTTGTGATTTCAGGAGCCCTCCAGTTCAGCCCCATTACTAGCACAAACACGGAAGCTCACCCATCATGCTTTGCTGAAAACGGTACCATATAACAGCTGTCATAGAAAAACCAGGTGAGTGATTACTTTGTATGAGAGTTGTTGTCTGTATTTAAAGCCATACAATAAAAAACACAATTTAAATTATTTGTCATTCTTTTTAAGTACAAAATCTGAAAAAGTGACAGCAAGCACCAGCTCAAACCCCAGTGACAACATGACATCTGCCTGCTGGGAGTCTGGCATTTCAGTGAACACGTCACAAAGCAACTCTACTGTCTGTTCAACAGGTAAGGTCTGCTAGAGAAAATGTTTTATTGTCAGCTTTTATTTTGAGCAAACCTCGGTCATGATTTTGCTTCAACTCCTTTTGTAGCCAATAACGAGCCACATCCATCAAAAGATACTGCCGAATGTCAGGCTGCAGAGAGACAGGAGGCTGAACCCATTACTGCTCAGAGGAAGAGGGAGCTGGAGCACTATCTCAAACTGAAAAGGTGCCTAAATGTTGTGGGACTTTCACTTTCTAATGTTGTACATTTTCACTACTTTTATCACATCTGCATGTAGGTCACTATTAGATTTTCAGTGCATTTCATCTATTTTTTTTGTTGGTGTTGTTTTATCATAGTGACGGGTGGCTGCAAGACCACAGCGGCAAGTGGGTTAAAGACGAGAATGTCGAGTTTGATTCAGATGAGGAAGAGCCACTTACGCTTGCCCCAGCGCCTGCAAATAAATGAGAGCACCAGAATTGTGTGGACGCACAGATAAAACTTGTACCACAGTGGTACGTTCACGAGGCACAGTGCTGCATAAAACAGACAGCTCAATGTGAAAAATTTTTTTAACAGATTTATTCTGTTCATCAGCCTTTTTATGTTTTGTTTTGTTTTGTTTTGTTTGTTTTTTAAAGCTACTGAGTGTGATCAATAGAGGTTGCTACAGAGTCAGTCTTTATTCAAGTGACAACTTTTCATGTCCAGTTATATTTTATGCTTAAGGCTGAACCTTTGTTGGCTTATCATAGTCCACCCTGAAAAGCATTGAGTTGCAGGAAAGTGACAAGAATTAACCACTGGTCTCTGAATTTGAGTACTTATATTCTCTAACAGCTTACTTATCAGGGAGGAAATTCCCTCTACACCCATAAAGAGTCCTGAATGGAAGAGTCTGAAATCGTTTACACCTGTGACAGAGACAAAGCACTCAGTTACCGGCACTTTTCCTTAAAATGTTCTGTGAATATTTTTTGTTACATTAAAATCCAACACCGCTCCTCCAATCTGTTGAAAAGATTTGTGTAATGTGCCTCTGCTTCCCCCCCCCCGACAGGTTGTGCTTCTTCATGCGGGAAGAGCAAGTTTGTCCCAAAGATGTGTTAAGATTTGGCTCTTTTGTCTGCTGCATGTTTGATTCCCTACTTGCACAAGCAGATTAAGGTAACATCAGAATTCTGGGAAAGGTGATTTTGGAAATATTCATATTCAATACGACTGACCAAACTCTTCATGTTATTAAGAAGTTGGAAAATACTCAAATTGGCATTTGCCTGATTATCTGGCAGAAATTCAGAACATTTTTAAAATCTGTATAGAATTTATACATTAAAACATCTGCCTTAGCTTTAAAGACATAAAGATTAAGACTGAAAAAGTCATCCTGGACTGTTGAACAACTTTCTTCTTTTGTGGTGGATCACTCACAAAACATTGTCCCAACATATGTGATAGCTCTGTTTTTTAAAACTTGTTATTGTGATGTAGTTGGGGGTTTGTGTTCATTAAATGAAATTAGTTTTATAAGAAAATCATTCTCATTCTTGATCACCAGGATGTTCTTTTGCAAAAACATCCTGCCTGAACATGAAACATCTTTGAAGTCTGGAAAGACTGGATAAACTGTGTCATCCTCAGTGACATTAGCCTTACATCTTTTTCATGGCTCCTCTCGAATGAAAGAAGCGGGTTTAAAAGCTCGGGCAACAATTTTCAGCTGAACTTCTGACCTTTATAATTATTGTGACTATTTTCATTACCCTTTTCTTGTTCATCATGTCCTTTCCATTTGAGTTCAGTGAGCTCTGTCTGATACGATCAATTCTCAGCCAGCTTTCCTATAAATCAGCAGCAGATTGGCTGTATTGGTGCTAATCTGTGCGTTCGTTTAAAGCTCCTCTCAGCACAGTTGGTATAAATTGGATAACATCAGGGTCAGTGGAAGGGGGCAAAGGGACTTAACATGGGTTAGTTTCTGATGACATGGCTAATATGTTTCAGAAGCTCACTCACTTCATTAGTTTGGAGTTAAGAGCGTCACCACGGTCTTAAAACGTCTTTGTAGGGATTTGGAAGTATGTTAGAGCGTTTTAAGACAAATTCAAATCTGATATTTCAGAATTACTGTTTACGAAACAGTAGAAGCATAAATACAATGTGGTGAATACATTTGTGACAGGGTTACAGTCCAAAAATACATCCGTGTTTTACTGGAAACTAAGAAGTGGAAGAGAAACTCTCAGAATAGATGTGGTAAGGCAACACTGACTTGAAAGTTTTACACAAAGCCAAATGTCAGTGAAGCTTGCAGTTTTAAAATGTGACCTTTGAGAAATCTAAAAAGCATATGTGGTCTTGTCAAACTTGACATTAGGTGAGAAGTCTTTCAAGAAATGGATTAATGAAACGAGAGGTGGAAGGCAGGGATGCAAGCAATGCTGTGAAAATCCTGAGAGGTTAGCAGCTGTTTCTGCTCATAAATTTCTGTGGGTGCATTAGGGTGCAACCCTCTTAAAGTTAGTTCTTATATTTGGAACAAGGTAACTCAAGCTCAGTGGGCTAGGATCCGTTTCACATTTGCGTTGGGCCGGGTGGGATGTAAAAATAGCTCAGGTGCCTGGAGGAAGTCTAAAGATCAGAAGAAACTGTAAGCGATTAAAGGGCTGTGATTTATTAAATCAAGGGGTTTTTTTGAGGGGGGGTTACCTAAAATGCTGAATGTGTTAGTTTTAGGAAATAATTTCATATAATATTTACCACAGAAAATGAGATTATGATTATAACAGTTTCGATTATGTATACTGCTGTGAAAAACTATTTGCACCCCTTCTGATTTCTTAAATGTTTCAGATCATCAAGTAAATTTTAATATTAGACGAAGATAACCTGTAGAATGCAGTTTTTAAAAAATCATTTCATTTATTAAGGGGAAAAGAGTTATCCAAACCTACTTGCCCCCTAAACCTTATAACTGGTTGTGCCACCCATGACGGCAAAAACTGCAACCAAGCTTTTGTAAGGAATTTTGAATTGAAGGGATGAAGAATTTTGGTCTGCTGTTCTTTGCAGAATAGTTTTCATGCAGTCACACTGGAGAGTTTTCCTGCATGAACCTGTTTAACGACTCAGTTTTGCCACCTAAGTGGGCTTGATGCTTCAGGTCATGAAATGATGGCCGGACATTCTGATATTCTGATTCACGGTTCCATCAGTTACCGATCCTGAAGCACTAAAGTGCAAGCCCCAAACCATCACACTGCCACCACCAGGTTTGACTGTTGGTTTGCTGTTGTTTTTTATGAAATGCTGTTAGCTTTGTGCCAGATTTACCCCCACTCAAGCCTTCCAGAAAGTTCAGCTTTGTCTCATCAGTCCCCCAACATTTTCACCAAAGTCTTGGAGATCATCAAGATGTTTTTTGGGGGGAAATATGAGATGAGCCTTTGTGTTCTTTTTGGTCAGCTGTGATTTCTCTCTTTGGAACTCTCCAATGGATACCATTTTTGCCCACTCTCTTTGTTATTGTTCAATCATAAGGGAGGCTTTTGGTTCTTTAGATGTTATGCTGGGTTCCTTCGTGACCTCCAGGATGAGTTCTTGATGTCCTCTTGGAGTCATTTTGGTAGGTTGGCAATTTCTGGTACGGTTCACCATTGTTCTAAGTTTGGTCCATTTGGGGATAATGGCTCTCACCGTGGTTCGTTGGAGTCCCAAAGCCTTCCCATATAGATGTCAAGGACTTTGTTTTTCTTCTGTTCTTGAGTCTAAATCTTTTAGCCAACTTCACTTTGTCAGTCAGGTTTTATTTAAGTAATTTCTTGATTCAGGTGGTTAATCACAGATGTTAATTCATTGTTTACAAGATGGCAATTATTTGATGGACACAATTTTGAAAAGAAAATGCTGTCACTTTTGTAAATAGCAGTTTATCCAGTATCAGTGGCTCAAATACAGATTACTCACAACCTGTAGATAGTCTGCTTAAATGTGCCAAAGTATGATTTTTTTTTCTTGGTGCATTTAAAACAATATTTGTTGAGTATAATATTTATGTGTGCAATAAGAATTAGAAACAATAAAATTAAACTTACCAAACAATTACAAAAAATAATCGAATATATATTTTTATTTAAAGTATTTACAGATTTTTTCCCCCCCTCTCCCACAGATGATATAGCACCACATTGAGTTAGTGAATGAAAATAGTTAACTATTTGTTTGGGTTGATGTTGGTGACGCATAAACTAAAAGCACAAAAAAGACACTTCAGGTTGTGCTTGTGATCTCTACATGCCTTTATGAGAAATTCAGCAACCTACAAAACTCTTGCTGCAGTAAATGAAATGAATGGTTGAACATGGATGCTAGACATGGTTTCCCCCAGGCACAGTGACCAGAATTAATTTGGGAGAATTCATTCAGCTCTGCTGCACCACAGTGAGCTGGCACAAGAGTCATCCGTTTTTGCAGGCTTCGAGGGGCTAATGGTTGCTCTTCTGCTCACTCCTTGTCGTGTTCATCTTAATCTTTGCTGACGAACTATGTAAAAGAGAGAAGATGCCGATTTCATATTCGGTTGCACAATCCAATAACACTTTAAATGATTCCTTGTATTATACATGAATATTTCAAGACTATCTGACCATGGATTCAGGTTTCTTACTCATGTCATTGTTTCGTGTGATGGCCATGGCGGCTCTGGCTCGGGGACCCTGCTGGGTGAAGTGGTAGCCAAATCTCAGGATACTGGAGTTGTTCTCCAACATGGAGGCAATCTCCATCTCAACCGAGTCTCCAAGTTTTTGTCGCTATATGATACATGAAAGGATAACACAATCAAGCACTGAGTCCTTTTTTCCATTGTGAATTAAATTTGAAAGCAGTAAGAAAAGCATGTAATTGGGTATGAGTATTAACTCAGTTATTTCATACTTGGACAATAAAAATTAGGATGTCTTGTTTTGGTTGCTGTGCATAAGTCTTTTTTTATATGTTACCATGAAAATGGGAAATGCATGCAGTGATGGAAATGGCAAAGTCTGCACAGTTCTAATGAGCTTGAAAATTAATAGTTGGTGTTACCACCATTTTTCTTCTTTTAGGCAGACTTCTAATCTTTTTTTAAAATAGTCTTCAGGAACAGTTCTCCAGGCTTCTTGAAGGACATTTAAAGCTTCTCTGCCAAGACGATCCCACACTGCTTCAGTAATGTTCAGGTCCAGCCTCTGGGGAGGTCATTCCATGTTTCATTGTGTTTTTCAATTTAATTTCTTTCTTTTTTTTAGATTACACTGCACATCATGCTGAAATATGCCAAGTCTTCGGCTAATAGCTCTTTTGGAATCACTTTGTTGGTACAAAATTACAATTAAATGTCTGTAAAACTGTAGATGTTGGCATTGTTTTGCACACAAATGGTACGTTTGTGTGCCAGGCTTAAATTATTCTACAGGTGAGTATCAAAGTGGCTTGCAAATTATCAGCTGTAGATGCACAGCATGTCCAATAATTTGTTTCTAACCTGGTTGTCAATCTTGAGCTCCATCAGTGTGGCGTTATTAGCCATTGCTTTGATGATCGCCATCATGCCGTCTGCAGTGATGAAGTTAGACTCGATGTTAAGACTCTGTAAGCTGGTGTTCTCCTGCAGCATCTCAGCGCATGCCTAGAAACACAGACAGAAACGCACATTGAAACTATATTTCTCTTCCACATTTTAAAAGCTCTTAAGGACTTAAAAATATTTTTTATAGTCAGGTGGCAGACACATTCAGATATAAACTATAGTTTACCACAGTGCATCTGAAGAGCAGGTGACAAAGAAAATGAGATCTTTATAGAATCTGAAGGAAAACTTCAGTCATTGCAATTAATCTCTTTTTATGTGAAACAATATTACACAGTAGAGGTACAACAGTACCTTAAGTTGATATTTTACACTACAAATAAATATCCTCTAATACCCTCAATCAAGAGTCATTCAGTAAACAAACAGATCTATAGCTAGAACGAGATATAAACTGTAAGACATTTCTAAGATTTTTATATCAAAGAAATAAATACCATAAAAATTGATTTAAACTTTGAGGAAATTTGCTGTCATTGGCAAGCAGTTGATAATTACAATGGGTAATTTACTCACATATGCCACAGGGTCGTTGCTTCGGGTTGCAGCGATGCTCAGAAACTCCACGTGAGAGTTTCCTTTCATCGCTTCAAAGATCTCTTTTAGTGTTGGGATGGGAATGTCCTGCAAGGAAAATACAGAGATGTTCAGTACGCAAACAAGGAATACTTGATAAGCTTGCAGATCCGGGTTTTGCAGCCAAGGATCAGTATAGCATATGACATGAGCTGGTTCACTGAAACGATTGTGTAATATTTGTTGTCATATGGGAAATTAATCTTGTTTGGGCGTTTAAGGACTCTGAGTCCAGCTTCAAGCTCCCTTTGACAAACATTTTTTTTATCTGTGCATAATTTTTCCATAATTGTGACGTTCCAATGAGCTGACCTTGATGTTGTTAAGGTTGACTTCAGTCAGACTGCTATCATTGTTGTGAATTCTCTCCAGGGTTTCCTCCACATTGGTGGGGTTTGGAGGTTCTTCAGGGAAGACCTTGAAAGGATCTGGTTTCACAACACCTGAAGGAGATAAATGATCACAACTGAGGCTACAGTGTAAACAGTACACAATAAAACATACAGTACTGTCACATGTCTGTCTGCATTTCATTTTAACGGCTGTCTGTGTGAGTATAAGCAATAGCTCATAAATGTCTTTGGCTTTCAGACATACTGTTGATGCCCTCGGTGTTGGCGATGGTGCCTGTGGTGCCCAGAGCATCGTAGTACTGCTTGTTACTCATCAGCGTGTACATTCCAAGGATAGCTGTAAATACAGGAAAACAATCACCATGAATACATTCAGATAAAAATATCTATACTATTTGAATAAAATCAGAGAGTTGTGCCCCTGTTATACTTTTTTTTTTTTTTAGCTAGTTTTAATGGTGTGTCCTGTGTCCCTGTACTGATATACCAAAGGCAAGTTTTTTAATATTGCTTTGCTAGGAAAAAATGTTTCTGTGGCGAGGACAAAACCTAAAGTGCCACAGTTAGTTTTTCCTTTTCCTTCATCTCCTGTGTGTGTCTATGTGTGTGTGCACAGGTGTTTGATGAGATAAGGAAACTGTTGTCTGAGTTCAGTGGGGACTTCTAATCTTACACTTTCGAGGGGCCCCCAAGGAAGTAAAGATACCTTGCACAATACACAACTTTCAGGGTCAAGCTGTGGGCCTCTAGAATTCTTAGTGTTATTATAGCTGACATTGAGACAGTGTTAATTTGTGACCACACAAAGTTAGAAGAAGAAAAGACTCTATTTAGGGGCACCCAAAGTATTTGTCAGGTCAAACTAATCCTAAAAATACATCAATAGCAAGTATTTAGAAAAGGTGAAGGAAGTACTGCTTTTCTTAAGTAACACTAACTTTGCATCATTCCTGTTGCATTAAGTTGAAACTATAGTTCAGTGTTCACTGCCTTTTTTGTTTTCCTGTTTTTAGGTTTGTTATGGAGGTTGCCAGTGGTCACAATCAGCAATACGCTGACCCATGTCTGTCAGCTGTTTGATGTGGTAGTGCAGGACAGGTGTATCGCATTTTGATTTTCTTAAACAGCTGACACCTCAGCAAAACAAAAACAATAACACTGCAGGACAATAAAACCAAGACATTCACGTGATGCACAATAATTGTGTTCAGCGTTAGATGTTAAAAAAAATTATTTATACCTGTTTTGTCTTACAGTAACTGCTAAGATATGCTAAAATTGAGATGTAAAAAGATATTCTACTGCTTTTACATGTTATACCTCTAAGCTTAA